TTACCACCATGGCCAGAAGCCTGATAGGAGGAAAGATGAGCTGTGGTACAAAGTACCCCCCTGAGAAGACTTCCCACTGGCTTGTTTCTTCATGGGACAGATTCTAACTCAAATAGCTGGAACTTGCCTTTGTTTTCTTCTCTTTTTTTTGTAAGTATCGTTCCTCATACAAATATGGTTATGGGCCATTATACAACAGACATATCCAGTAAATACACTAAGTGAGGAATGGATGGGAGAAGAAATTGCTTTCTGATTTGTTCTACATGGAACCACCTGGAAATGTTGCAACATACCCTCTCTATCTGTACCACCCATGGAAAGATGCCCAGTGGGTTCTAGCTCCCAACAGTGTTGAAGAGTCTTGACTGTGAAAGTTTGACCACATGTCCCCGGCCACTGGGGGCAGGGTATGAGCCACGTCTCTCCCAGAAAGCAAGGCCAGTCTCCAAAATTGCTACTTTCATCCCTTTGTCTGCATTATCTTATTTTTTCACATTTGTTTACTAAAATGATAATGTATTGCATTTGTTTATGGAGCACAAAGTATGTTGTGACTTAGGAATACAATGAAGAAAAATGAAATCTAGTTACCAACGTATTCATCACCCACGTAACATTTTTTGTGGTAGAGACATTTGAATTTTACTTTTGTATTTGTAATTTTTTATTGGTATATGTTTGCAATACATAATGAATACATTCACTGTGGGGAACTGGCACATAGACATACCGCATCTTAGGCCCTTTCACTTCCCTTTCCCCACCGCTTCTCTCCTGGTCCTGAGAATGACGAGAGCTTGGCTTACTGAGCTTGCTTCTTTTGAATTGGCATTTGCGCGGTGGGTTTGCTACATGTTTTCTTGGGGGCTGATGCACCGGGCCAGGCAAGATGGAGCTGCAGGAGCAGCAGCCCCGCACTCCATCCAGGGGTTTGGCTGCAGACCAGCTAGCAACTGGGACTTCAGCCTTCCCTGCAAAAGGAAGTAGCCGGAAGCAGTGGGAAGAGGTTCTCTTTTTTTCATTTCCCCAAAATGTGCATCCCCAAAGCATACAGACAAACACATGCTGGATGAGCTTAACTGCGGGCTAACAATGCAGCATAAGCCTGCAACAGGAAAGTGTGGGTGTTCACCATCAAAGCCAATCTGAAGGCGTTTTCGAGGGAAAAGAGTCTAAGAATAGAGGAGGAGGCTGTGACACATGGGCTTTTTTTCCAGTGTTAGGGATGGAACCCAGGGCCTTCACATTGATCTACATCCCTACCCCTTTGTGAGAAAGGATGTCATAAAGTCACTAAGATACCCAGGATTGCAGCAGAATTGTGGTCCTCTTGCCTCAACATCCCAGAAGAAAAGGCCATTTTTTATGTCTAATTTAGCAAGTCAGGATCCTCAACAACCCCTGTGCGAGGCTTCTATGCATTTGCTGAAGATGCCACCCACAGCTGGTCTGGGAAGAGGCGAGGCTGGCAGGAAAGGCCACTGCAGGGAGTCCTCTGGGCACAGGAGGGGTGAGAGTGGTGCACGAAGGTCAGGCCTGCTGGGCCTCAGGCATTGTCCTCACAAGGATAGTTTGAAGGCCCCTTCTGAAACCTACTTCCAGCTCCCGCACTCCCATCTTTAGGTCCCGCCACCCAGAACTAAGTCCCAGCATGGGAAAGGGTGTCCCAGACCATGGAAGACTTATTATTTTGAAAGGTTTCCAAAGAAAGGAGACTCCACACCTTCCCATTTCAGTGTGAAAATGGCTTACTACAAGAAAATTATTCTTACACCTGATTCATTTCTTTACAAATGCTCATTTAATTTCATTTCCTGGGAAATCACCACTTTGTAATTCAGTGAGGACAGTCACAGGAGTTTCCCCCAAACTGACTCCAGATTCATCACAAACTTGGCCCCCAAGACCTACCATACAACTGAGACCATCGTATTCTCTCTCTCTCTCTCTCTCTGTCCACTGTGGCTCACTATCTTATTACATCCCATCCTACACAACCTCAAAAACTGTAGGGAAAAGTTTCCATTTTAATTTTGATATTACATATGCTCTGAATTTTCAGTCCTAAAAATGATACTGATGTCTGGGTACTTTTTTTTGCCTAATAGACTGAGATGTCTGCAAATACAATAAAAATATGCCAATTAACAGTTCATTTCTTTATAGGTCATAGTAACAGTGAAAGACTACCTTAATGGACAGAACCCATTATCATTTAAGTCTATAAGTTCTAGTGTTTGGAAAAAAATAATGAAACAGATAGCTCATACTAAGAATGCTACTTTTTCCTAAAAGTTATCTTCTGACATTATCAGAATCTCCTGATAACAGAAGAATTGAACAATTAGATTCCGCACTGACACTTTTATAACAGCCTTCCTCTCTGTACCTATTACAATGTCCTTGTCTAATTTGAAGGTCTAGACAGACTACTTCTCCCAGATTTTTTATTTTTGTTATTGTATTTCTAGCTGTCTGATTTATACCAATATTTACGTATTAACAATGATACCAATGGCGAGCATTTATGTAGATATGTTTCAGGATGATATTTTTCTTTCTGTTCAAACCAGCTCTATTCTTGCCAAATGCCCTTTTATATCTAGATCTGTGGTGGATTGACAACGGGCAGTCAACTTATAACCCCCAGCTGAACTGAGTAAGCGTGGTGCTGGGTGTTCGAGGCCCACCTGAGGACTGTTGCCAGCAGCATAAGAGGCAGAACTAGAGAAGAAGTTAGGCTGTTGGGAGCTGGTAGAAGCTGCTAGGAGCCTGTTGGAAGCTGTTGAGAAGCGGTAAGGAGCTCTTGGTTCTTTTGGAGGACCTTGTCATGCTGGGTTTCCCGATGAACTTGGCTGTTTTCATCCTCCAAGGAGCTTGGGACCTTGTTGTCACTGAGAATGGCTTTGGTTCACTTTGGGGGAGCTCTGGTCCTCACTGTGAGCATCATTTCCTTGCTCTGGTAGGGAAAATAGTGCACTGCTGAGTTTCCTGGAGAAGCTTGTCACGTTGGCGTTCCTGAAAGGAATTTGGTTTTCCTCATCATTGGAGGAGCTCGGAACTTCACTGTTGCTAAGGATGGCTGTGGTACTTTTCAGGAGAGCTCTGATTCTTATTTTAAGCATCACTTCCTGGCTCCAGTGCAGATCCCTCAGCCTGCTAGGACAGATCCTTTACCCCACTGGCACAGACTTTCTAGATTCCAGTGCTGACTCTTGGGCCTTCCCAGCACAGATCCGTGAAACAGGACTGCATAAGATATTGTTATAGGCTCTAGGCCTCCAGTTGGACTCATGGGAGGCAATGTTATGAGCTGGATCTTCAGTTATGAACTCTAGATCTTCAGCAGGACATTATCATGGGATCCAGGTCCTCAGCTGGATTCTTTGGTCTGTAGTGTGTGGACAGATCTCTTGCACTTTCTTGTATACGATTCTGCGGGTGACCATTATAAATAATCATAAATACGTGTCCTGTCTTATATTGTTCTTGTAAAACCGCCCAAAACCCAAACCAACACAAGATCTGTGGTGTGTTAAGTTTCCAGTCTGTGCTCAAACTTGCAGTCATCCCATTTCAGCCTCCCAGAGTCCTGGGATTACAGGTATACCTGCAGCTGAAACGTTGATTCTGGTCTGCAAAGAAAACAGTTAAAGTTCTCTTTACTAAAATTGTCTGGAGCACACAGTGATTGGACGTATTTAGTACAACATATGAGATGTTTGAAAAAGCCACTTGGGAATTTGTAGACACTGAGGTATTGCTCAGTAATGACCAGGAACCACAGAAGGAGACACTGTGATTCCTTGCACCAGACCCAATGTCCAGCTTCAGTCAAGCCACAGTGTCTCTCTTCTGTTTCTTTGACTGTCGAGTTTCCTGCCCCTTTGATATCTGGTTACCTAGAAAATGAGAAGGCCTTCCCTGAAGGAAATGGTAGAGAAAAGTCCCATGGCCACAGCAGATTTCGGAGAAGAGCTGCAGGGAAGGCAGCTGAGAGTACCATCCTGCCTTACCCTGCAAGAAGGAGATCCCCAGGAAGGAGACCTCCAAGCCAGAACAATGTGAGGGGGTCCTGTGCCCCTCCTGGGATGGGAGGCTGCCTGTGCAGAGTGTGCCAGTGCCCAGGTCAGCGTGTGCACTGGGGGAGGGGCATTCAGGCTCATGTCCGTTTTCCTTTTCCCCCTCTCAGGAGTGTGAAAGGAGGGTTGGGGGGATTTAGACAGTAAATTGTTTGGGTTTTCTTGTTGCTTGATTGGATTTTTGTTGTTTTGTTTTGTTTTGTTTTGTTTTTCAGATACTGGGAACTAAACCCAGGACTTTCGCATTGAGCTACATTCCCATGCCTTTTCAAAAATTTTTATTTTGAAACAGGTACTCAATAAAGCACTGAGTTTTCCAGGCTGAAGTGGAATGTGCTATCCTCTTGTCCCAGCCTCCCAGAGTTCTGGGATCACAGACAAGCACCACCATACTGGCCTTAGACAGGAAACTTTTAGCATGGCTGGAGACATGTAATTAACTTCTTTTTATTGAAAATTTTATTTGTTCTGAATACAAAGCACCAGAAATGCTCATTCTGGCTGGGTGTGGTGGCACACACCTATAATCCCAGCACACAGGAGGCTGAGGCAGGAGGATCACTGTGAGTTCAAGGCCATCCTGGGTTACAAAGTGAGTTCCAGCCAGCCTGAATTGCACAGTGAAACCCCATCTCAAAAATACCCCCAAAAAAGTTCATTATCTGAACAGTTTCAGAAAAAGCCCAGGGCAGTGGCATGAAGACTCTGGGTCCATTTGATCATTCATTTCTTTTCTTTCAAATAACACTTACCCAGCTATGCAAGGCTTTGCACTGTGTGCTGTGGGACTAGAAAGCTACATTACAGTCCCACTCTTAGGAATCTCAGTGTGATACTGGGGGAGGGGGCAGCACATATACAAAAAGAAGATGCTAAATGGGGAAAATTAATCCATGAATGATGTAAAGAATCAAAATTCTTTGTAATCAAAATTTTTATTGTGGCAAATGTACACCACATAAAACTAAGGATTTTGAGTATTCCTCAGTGTCAGTAAGTACATTCACATTGTGGTACAGCATCACCACTGCGCAGCTCTAGAACTTTTCCCTCTTCCCAGGTGGAAACTCTGTCCCCATTAAACAAAAGCTCCCTTTTCTCCTTTTCCCAGCCCATGGCACCCACCATTCTGCTTTCTCTCCTCATGAATTTGGTTATTCTAGGAAGCTTATATCAGTAGGGCCATATGCAGAAGTGGTCACTGAATATTGGGAATAAATGCTGCCAAGCTGCTGCCGTCAGAGCATCTGTAGAATACTTCTTTGCATAGGATTTGGAAAAAGTAAAGCAGATGTTGGAAGAGAACCCTGTGCTTGCCACATAAGTGCATCATTTTCCTCCCCTAGGACAGGACTCGGCCTCTCTAATGAGTTCCTTATTCGTGTACAGCCCAGGCCCACTTCTGTTTTCTGAACGCCATCCAGTCATGCTGTATGAAGAGAAGCCGTGCAGTGGGAGGTGACATTGTTCTCACTGCCTCCAGGGCTGCACACAGAGGCATCTGTCACTAGAACACGCTTCTCCCCAGAAAAGGAGAGCAGGGGTTAATTAACAGCCCAAAGTCAAGCGCTTCTCAGTGTAGCCTGAATGTCACTGGGGAACACTTGAGTTCTCTCTTCTGCATCTTTCCCCTCAGTTGTAGGGCTACCCATATGTATTCCTTTTAACTCACAGAGACTGTGTCTCAACAAATTAGGAATCATTGAAAAATGTCATACTCAGAGATGGGGCCTTCCAGTCTCCCTGACTCTATAAGAGGGCCTTGCACTAGATAGCAGACATTTCCCAGCGCTCTGGAGTTCAGGGCAGCCTACTGGATCCAGTGAGGCGACACTGTCAAAATGTAGACCTTGTCTCAGCCCTTACAGTGCAGTACCAGCCAGTGGCGGAACCAGCATCTCCACATGGTTTGTACTCACCAGGTAATGCAAATGGATCACAGGGCACTGGAATGATTGATTTCTTTCGTCAGATGCAGTTCTACCAACACTATGACAGGGTCAAATCCAGAAAACATTGGGAGCTCTGTAAGGCTCCTCTAAGAAGTGGGGTGTTTTTGCAACCCCAATCTCTGTCCACACTTCTCTAGCCCATTTCAGGCAAGATAGTCACCTCCTTGGAACTTCAGGGAACTCATTACCTTCCTCCATGGGCAGTGTGATAAAACAAGAGCCAAGGGCATGAATCAGTGTGGGATGGGGGCCTGACTCAGCTCAGCCACTGTGGCAGACAAGAGGAACACCACTGATGAGGCTGACAGCTCCCGGAAGTGGCTTGGAGGAAGTGCAATAGAACCCTGTTTGCCTATGTAAATGTAGGGGGGTGCAGGAAATGAAAGTGAAGCCAGAACTTTCAGGGCCCTTCTATAAAAGGCCACAGGAGTCTTGCTGTAGTTAGCTTCCTTGCCATGACAACAGGAGAACTTCCAAAGCCTAGGTTTCCTCATCTGTAAAGCAAAGAACATGAATTTACCTTTGAGGGTTCCCATGGGCTTCAGGTGACTCGCCCAGTCCTGATTTGGGGCCAATCTACTGATGGTGTGATGACAGTCAGCCAGAGAGGGGCTCCCTTGCTGGGGAAGGAGCCCCCCCCCAGCTACTTAAGTGGTCTACACTTGCGCTTCTGCCAAATCGGCTTCATAATGACCACTATGCAATATGCATTCTGCACTGTGATTATTATGTAGATGCAAGCATATTTCATAACGATTACCATGCAACACGCATTATCTATTGTGATTATTATGTAAATGCAAATGAACATCCTACTCTAACATATGTCTGGTGGACTAAATCTTACTGCCACATTGACATAAGCTTTAAAATATTGCTCCATTGTTTGCTATGGTTCAAAAAGGCTTTTGTTATAAAAGAAATAGAGGTCATTGCAAAAATTGCCAGCACACAGACAGTTAGCTGTAGAGTGCAATTTAAAAACCACTTCCCCGCCTTGCAGCCCTGCTTGGATAAATAACCCTGCTTGGAAAAGAGTTTTGGTACATCCTTCCAGAAATATTCTATGCTTATATACAAGCGTATATAAATACTTTTGTTTTGCACAAAAGCAAATCACACTAAAATGTTACTCTGCAAATCTTTTTTTTCTCCCTAATCTCTGTGTCTGGACTGACTTGCTGTCTCTGACAGCTGTGCAACATTCCACCATGGAAACAGGCTGTAGTTTATTTAACCAGAGTCCAGAGCTTTGGTGAAAGGCCAAAAGGCACTGGATTCTTCTTTTCCTGTGAGCTGATGCCACACTCCCCACACCTACTTTCCTACCAAATTGCAGGTGCTCCAAAACCGCAGGCCCAGAAGGCTGCATCCAGAGGCTGTGTGCCTTAAACTGGGCCACTTCTCATGGTCCCAGGAAGAAGATGAGCTTGGTTCAAAAAGTCCTACAGGTTCTATCAGGGGTGAGGTCATGAGTGGATCAAGGAGCCTGTAGAAATCCCTCCCTTATGCTGATGGCCTCGCCCTCACTCAGAATAGCAATGAAGGCTCCTAGACCTTTGGGCCCCTAGAGACACTTGGTTCATCTTCCCAGACATGGGCCCAAAGCCTGCAGATCAGAAAAGGAATCCCTTTCACAGCTCAGTCCACTGGGGTTAAGACTTCCTAATGGAGTGCCAAACACAAGCGGCTCTTGCAATCCTACCAAGGTCCTGGAGAAGCAGTAAGGCTATGGGCTTGAAAATGAATTTTGTGTATCACGTCACTGGCCCAAGCCATGGAACCCACCCAGTTTGGGCCAAGTTTTAACTGTCAGTAAGGCAGCTTCCGAATTTCTGTATTGCATTTCTGCCTAGGTATCCCCTATACACACATTTAGACATTTAAACAGTTGTATTTATAAACTTATAATCAATCTTGGGTCTATTCTAACCCTCAGCAACATCTTGAAGTCCTAGATGGGGTATGCTAGCTACATTTATTCTGATACTCATTTAACAAAGTCCTCAACAAAAGCAGTCATATACCTGTGTGTTTCCTACAACCATGGTTTACATCACACTTTGAGGATTGCTGCCCTAGGGCCATCCAACATCTTCTCAGGGAGCTGTGTCTCTTTGCACAATTTAAGAGGAGTCTCTTTACTGATGTTTGGAACATGGAAGATGTGTGGAACAAGCCAGCCAATCCTTTTCTTCCCTGTCTCCAGCACAGGATGATATTTTTGGCCACAGTGATCCTCATGGAATGTTTTTCTCTTTTTCTGGAAAGAAAATAAATGCCTCCATTCCCAATTACCACTGAGGAGAAGTAGTAAAGAGTGAGGAAGTGTCCAGGGACTCCTACTCCAGCAGATGTAAGGATCTTTTTATTGCCTGACATGCTCCAGGCCAGGCTCACATTAGTCCTATTTTTAGACTTTTGGGTAGACTTGATGAATTTGGCCTCCTTTTCAACAGATCATATTAATGAACCGCAGATGGGCCCATAATTGATTCCTTTCTATCGCAATTACTTCACAGGCAGGCAAAAGTATTCAGTGTCTCCTTGGTGGGTAGTTACCTAGTTTCTAAAGCTCCAGGCTCTGTCTGGGAACAGGTTTTCCTCCTGGCTTGGACATCAGAGGACAGATGATCCAAGATGGATTCACCAAGGTACTTGGAAGCACATCCAGCATCCTTGGCAGTTACACCGGGTGCTTGGGGATCTTGGCAGTTCTGTGTTCAGTTGCCTAGAGATGCTGACAGTGATCATTTTGGTGGATGGAGGCAAGGGCTGCATCACTGGAAGATATTCAGAAACATTTCCGGCATGTAGCATCAGACTCACAAACCCCATTACTCTGGCAGTGTACCTAAATTCATCCATCCTGTCTTCTATCGGCCGCCTTTGAAGTACTGCTAGATATTTAGGGTATCTCAGGCTCTTCAACTTCAGCATACTTTCCCTTAAGAAACTTACGTTTTCTCTCTGACACCATGTGTGATCTGGGCCAGTTTATTCAGTGTGGCCATGGCTGCTGGGGTGATGGTGGATTGGTGTTGAGTTCTGATTCAGAACCATGGGAACATAAAGTTGTAAACTCAATGATAGAAGCCATCGTCCATCTAGAACTCTGACAGCCAGTGGTGGATGGCACAGTTGCTGCCCTCCTCCTTTTGTAAAAGGAAGTGAACGGGCAGGCTGGGCATTACCTACTTGACGGATGCAGAGGAGCAAGGAGGGTGACAGAAAGAGAAAAACACACTTTACCCACATTTAGATTCTGCACAAACATTTATCCGTTTTCTAAGGAGTTGGTGGACTCTGGACTCTGGCAAGTCCAGTAGACTGAGGGCATCTAAATTCTGCCAACCATAGACATGGGATTTATCCACATTCCTTTCAACCTGGGGCCTTGTCCAGGAAGCCATCTTTTACTTACAAGGAGGATCATTTCCACCCTGAATATTTGTGTTCACCTTTCTACATCAGACATTTAGTATCAAAGAACAACTTATGTGTTACCTATACAAATTATAATATGGGTAACTTTATTTTCATCTCAGGTCAGATAAGTTTTACAATTATTATCTGTCCTGTAAATTATTCGAGCTCTATTCTTTGTTGAAGATCACAGAAAGTGGTTTTTATTATTTCTGTGCAGTCAGCACAGCAGCACAGAACACAGGTAGTTTCCACTTTTCAGGGGTAAGAACCCAAGTTGCCCGGATCTGCTCAGGGATTTCCTTCAAGAAGGGCCTACCACTCTGCAGTACACAATCCACTGAGTCTCTTACAGGGTCTGCCAAATGACTGCCGGACAAACTGCATCAGTCAAAAGTCCTGCTGGCTTAGGAGTGAGAAGAGAAGGCGGTTGTGCAGTCCCCAGGGCATCTGATCTGTGGGGTTCATGGGCTGAAGTGAGTAGAAGAGCTGCCCTCTCCCCACTTCCTTATTGTGGCTTCCAAGCGTGCTTCGGTTGGTCTTGTGATGACACAGTTTTTGCCCTCAGGACATGCAAAGCCACACTAGGAAGTGAACCCCTACTTCCACTATTCTTGAGTCTGATTGTAGGCAGACCCAGTGGTGACTGGACAGACGGCCATCAGGAAAATATGCTTGCTCAACTCAAACAACTCCAGGCACTCGCACCACTGAAGTTCCCCAGCAGAACTCTAGGCAAAGCCATGGGTCACCTGGCCCTGATTCCATCACCTCTACTGTTTTTTTTTTTTTTTTTTTTTTTTTTGGTTTTTCTCCAGTACCGGGAACCGAACTCACAACCTTGCGCTTGCCAGGCAGGCGCTTTTGCCGCTGAGCTAAAGCCCCAGCCCCGATTCCATCACCTCTAAATGATGACTTGGAAAGGGCTACCATACCACAGTCTGGTCTAGTTAGATTTCCAACCCCTGCAAGACAGTGAGCATACTGGTGCCTTACAAGCATTGCCTGTGTAGATTGTGTAAACAGCACCTCTACACTTGTGAGCTATTATTTTATTGAATATTTGTAGCTGGCTATAACTAATAAAATGTATATTATTTGAATATATAGCTAAATTCATTATAGATATTTGTCACTCTGTGTTTTCTTAATCAAGAAATATTGAAACAACCACTGTCACACAGTGAGAATGACCATCCCACAATCTCATCTCCACAGGCCTCTAGAATGCTCCCTATTATGTGGAAGCCTGGTATATCTCTGAGGTTTTGAAAGGATCCCATGACTGAGATTAAGAAACCTGCCTCTCACACTCTGTGGGCTGTCTCTTCACTCTGTTGGTGATTTCTTTTGCTGTGCAGAAGCTTTTTAATTTGATGTGATCCCAGTTGTTGATTCTTTGTAATATCTCCTGTGTGATCTGGGTTTTGTTCAAGTTTTTGCCTCCACCTATGTCTTCTAGAGTTTTACCTATTCTGTCTTTCAGTGGGTTAAGTATTTCTGTTTTTATGTTCACATCACTGATCCATTTCAATTAGTTCAAAATTTGAACCTAGATCTGTATCTCTAGGTTCAAATTTCAACATATGGAAAGCCATTTTTCCCCAGCACTATTTATTATAAAGGGGCTATTTTTCTTCGTGTGAGGGTGTTTGGTCACTTTGTCATTCCAGAATAGTTATCTTCAAGAAATCAACCAATAATAAATTCTGGCAAAGTTGTGAGGAAGAAACAATCCATCTCCATTGCTGGTGGGAATGTAAACTCGTACAACCACTGTGGAAATCAGTGCGGAGATTTCTTCAGAAACTAAAACTAGGGGTTCCATTTGAACCAGCTAGTCCCCTTCTAGATATCATCGCAAAAGGGATAAAAACATAATACCACAGTAATATATGTACACCCATTTTTATAGCAGCACAATTTATAATAGCTAAATATTGGAAACAGCCCCTATGCCCATCAAAAGATGAATGCAAAAAGAAACTCTGGTATTTATATATAATGGAGTACTTCTCTGCCATAAAGAAGGATAAACTTCAGTCACTTGTAGGAAAATGGATGTACCTTGAGACCATAATCTTAAGTGAAATAAATCGGACACACAAGTTTAATTATCACATTGTTTCTGTTGTGTGAGAAACTCAAGAGGTAAATAAGAAGCATAATAGAGGATAGATATTGGGAAATAGGAAGAACACATTCAAATGGGAAGGTGAACCAGGGAGGGAGGGGGAGAGAAGAAAGAGAAAATGGAAAAAAAGAGAATGGAAGGAAAGAAATAGAAACAAAGCTTTTGTAAATGGGAAGGGAGGAAAGGTTGAAGGGAGGGGAAGAGAGTGGGAAAAAGATGAATTAAGACATATTATGTACAGGTACAAATTCCCTTTGATGAAAGTGATCAATATGTATGACAAATAATACTTTAAAAATAAAGTTTAAAAAAAGAAAAAAGAAAGCTGCTTCTAAAGAGGAAAGCCTGCCAGGTGTGGTGGAGCACGCTTGTAAAACCAGCACTCAGGAGGCTGAGACAGGAGGATCTTTGTGAGTTCGAGACCAGGCTGGGCTACAAAGTGAGCTCAAGGCCAGCCTGAACTGCACAGTGAGATCCTGTCTCAAAAAGATGAAAAGAAAAGAAAAGAAAAGAAAGAAAAGAAAAGAAAAGAAAAGAAAAGAAAAGAAAAGAAAAGGGAAAGGGAAAGGGAAAGGGAAAGGGAAAGGGAAAGGGAAAGGGAAAGGGAAAGGAAAGGAAAGGAAAGGAAAGGAAAGGAAAGGAAAGGAAAGGAAAGGAAAGGAAAGGAAAGGAAAGGA